CTATAAAGTAATAATGATGGGATGATTTAAAAAAAAAATCTCCTAGTAAATTTAAAGCAAACTATAAGCCAAAAGTTGTATTTTGCTTTGCATTGTAGTCTACTGTAGGAAATGTTAGTGAGGAAGCTAAAAGAAAATTGGGGTGAGGCCAGACGTAGTCTCTGGTTTGCTTATGGGCTACTGTTGAAAATGTTAAAATTCTGGTCTAGTTGCATCCTCCATTGTAAATAAGATCTTGAAATTATTATTTTAATAACCTCTGATTTCCCAGTTTGATGTGGTGATCCATATTTGTTTATAGGAGATTGGGATTTGATTTGCTTTCATTCAATTTGTAGAACAATGATTCTTAAACCGATTGACCTGATTACATTTTTTCCTAGATTCAAATAATGTCATTATCCACAAAATAGCCACAAGCATTTTGTGCTTATACAAGTGTATAGCCAATATAAATTGTTTATTATCCCTAGGATACGTCCAAAATACCCTCTTGAGAATTACTTCCAGTTTAAGATTTAAAGGAACTACTATTGTAGATTATAGTTGTTCCATGTTCCACTTTGGATATCTTCTTTACTGCAGGCCCTTCAAGCACTACAGCGACAACCCAATGCAGCCCAATACTTTCATCAATTTATGCTTCAACAACAGCTCAACAGTGCTCAACTTCACAGTCTGGCTGCAGTCCAGCAGGTGAGAAGCTGAAAAATTCTGTTTGGAAAGAGAGAAACCCGGGGACTGGAACTTCTGAGGGCCACTAAGCCTCCATCTTTTTCATCATGCATTTCAGCATCTGACTGAATTTGCATCATTGATTTTGAGAATAAATATTAATAAGCAGATGCTACTCAGTTCTCTCTCTACATTGATTTCACAAATGCTATGGAACTTCTAAGTCAATGTTTGGAGATAGTTTTAATCAGTATTACATTGGAAGAATAAAATTTCCTGGAATAAGAACACCAGTTTGGTCAATAGCCAGTTGCTAACTAGTTCCAAATTTGAGAAATAAAAAGCAAGATGTCCAGAAAGCTGGGAGAAAAGTTGTGGAAAAGAAGCATAAGATATAAATTGCAGTGGCTATTAGTAGGAGCTGAATTCTTAAGTTGAAAGAGGGCATTCAGCTGCCAAGTGGCTCATTTTAGTAGACGAATAAAAATTCTTAAATATGTTGAAGCTAAATATGTGGCTTCTTTTGAGTTTGAGCCGTGTTGTCCACTGTCCACATGAGAGGGCAGCTTGTCTTATAACCAGGGGTGAAATTAGACTGGTTCGGGCAACCCGTAGGGATGATTTGAAGTGGTTCACCAAACTGGTAAAAACCACCCCTGGTGGCCCGCCCACTCACTGCTCACCCCCTCTGGCCATTTACTCACCCCTTCCCACCACTTGCCGCCCGCCCCTTCTGGCCACTCACCCCGCCCATCCACCCCTGCCCTATATATATGTTGCCTTCCCACG